CTGTGAAATCTTGACATCTGTTGTAAAAGTACATCGTCGGAAACCCACGGTCGGTCTCGCTTCTCTTACCTCCCGGGAGGTAAGAGAAGCGAGACCGACCGTGGGTTTCCGACGATAGTAAAAGTATTGGCCCTCTTTAGAAGGTTGTAGAAAAGAAAGATTACTAGAATGCACGTCACAATACTGTTCATTGATTTCTTTTCCTTTTGGATAGCTCTAGAATTCCTCAGTTTGAATACTGTAATGATATGCAGTGTTATAATTATCAAAACAGGTAGAAAAGTGTTAAAAGCCTGAATGAAGAGTTGATAAAGTTGCCCCTCTGGACTTTTTGAAAGGTACATCAAAAGGTACGCAATTGCTGATCCGTAGCCAAAACTTGAAATTAGCAAAGTTGGACAAATAATGATAACGGTTTTATTCGTCAGGCATGTTTGGCTTTTTATTGGGTAGACCAAAAGTAGGAACTTAACAATAGCAATAAGAATAATGTTCAAAACAGCATTCATTTCTATGGAAATCATGCAAGCTATATTGGGTACATACCTCTAATTATTTTTAGAATCGGTAGGGGAAGAAAGTAGTGCAGAAAAAATTACAAGTTCCTTAATTTGCAGACCTGAATAAAAAAAACTGTGATAATGTATTAAACTGAGCCTCATACTTGTTGATAAGGAGTATGTTCCCTTGCAAAAAAGCTTGGCAGATGTAATTTATCAATAAGATCAGCAGAATTATTTTATGTATTATAACACCAGTGAGAAGTCTGGAATTCCCCTACTTTCACTTTCATTTTCAGAGGTTAACGCAGACAGACGCATTTTGCCGGAAAACGAATCTGACATGCCACCTCGAGATTTTAACCAAGGAAAGACAACTTGATGTGCTTTGATTTGAGGGGTCACTCACTGCTGAACGAAAATTAGGGACATTTCTATGTGAAGAAACGTTAACATTGCCGCCTATGGGAAAACAATTAGTGGACTGTACCCATATTAAAAATGAAGGCTGTCTTGATACATCTCATGTATACGAACATTTCAAATTCATAAAACAGAATTACGCTAGTTTGCACCAATGCTAACAAATCTGATATAGCGAGGCTTAGTAGGGCAAGGAAATAGAGTTTGAAGTTAAGCACAATGGTGAATACCGTCGTTATGTTACCAAGTATTCCTATGACAGCCATTACAATAGCTATAATTTCAACATAGAGAGGCATTTTCTTACCAAGAGTTAAAACAAAATGCAAATGCTTAACAAGAGAACAATTTATGCCAGGTTTTCCCACAACAGTTTTTTCGGCTGATGAGACATTTGCTGGATATTTGCTGGAATTTTGCCAAATCTTACTTTCCAACATTTGAAAATCTCCATTCTCCATAGTGCTACTGATATGGTGGTTTTCCTCAGTAGTAGGGAGATCAGAGGGCATTGTAAGCAGTTCATTTCCAGGGACAATCGTCCTTTTTAAAATAGTTACATTTTCTGAGGCCACAAGTGTAATCCAGAATGGTATACAGAAAAGAAGAAAAACGTCGAGGCAGGATCTCCTAGGATCTTTTATGGAATACATTCCTAAATAAAAGACAGGGACGCAAATATAGCTTATTTAGTCAGGTGTTAATGCTTTAAGGCAAATTTTAAAATGATAAAATAAAGAAATAATTACTAGTATATAATAAAATGAACACTCATATAATTTTTTGCATGTTCAATGTGTTTTAGACTCACTTTAAGGAAATGACTCAAGCCTTTCGAATTGTAATCATAAAGTTAGTTTCTGATGTAGAACATGTAAAACCCCTGAAATCTATACATGTACATGTATTTGTTAGCAAATACATAACATCTTACCCATTTTAATTGAAGAGAAGAATATGTCTGCTTGGCTTTTCTCATATTAACAAGCCTAAAAATTTTCTTGTTACATGTAAGTCCGAAAATTAAGTAAAGAGAAAACATTTGTGACATTAATTCAATCCAAATAGTGATTTTTTTCCTTCAATTTATTTTTATTTCATTTTACGTCATAAGCAAGAGTGTAACATACAATTATCTGCATGTGTTTTAGAGTCTATGTCATTTTAATAAATGATTTACATATAATACGAATTTTGTTGAAAATTACTGAGACAATCTTAATTGCAAGGACCAAAAGGGAGCTATGAACAGTACAGAAACCATCTTTAGCAATACCTAGTTAACTGCATAGAATTTGTCTACAAAATGTTTAAAGAACCTTTTTCTACATTCAAAAATTTGGGAAGATTTAGAATAAATACCTGATATCATAAAGGAATAGAACAAACATCTGAGGTAAAAATTAATCCGTGTTATTTCCAATTGTAGATGGCATATTGGTCATTTAGCATTTTATACCTGTTGTCGAATGTCTCATTAAGAGAAGGCGGCTCCTTTCGGGTGTTATAAATTTCATTAACCAGCATAGGAATATATTGTTCAATATCTTTACAAAATAAATCACAACTTAGAAAAAAAATAAAATTTTCTGAAGTGAGAGCAGGAGCTTTCGTTCTTTTGTATAATACTCTACGAATAATATCTAAAACGAGGCATGTTTTTGACAATCAAGCTGATGAAACAAGGATATCAACAGTCTCCTTCAAAGACAAAATTTGGAAATTTTATGGTCGATACAATATCCTTGTTTAATCAACTTGTTTGTCAATGACATGATTTGTTTTTGAAATTGTGTGTAGGAAGAGCAGGAACTTGCGTATCGAATCAACTCGGAGACATAGACCCCTTATGCAGGTAATAAAGATATATTGCTACATAAGTAAGGGAAGTTGAGAATAGAAAAGTTGAAGACATCACGTTTATTATAACGTTTTGTTGTTTTTTATTTGGAAATATTAAGTGATATTGAAATATTTATTTGTAGTTTGGATCCTCCACATCTTTACACCAGGTAAAATAGCCATTTGGGGAAGGAAGTTTCTTTTTCAAAGCAATCCTTCACATAAGTGTATAGAGAGAGAGAGAGAGAGAGAGAGAGAGAGAGAGAGAGTATAAATTCGTGGATTTAATTTTTTTAATGTTTCAAAATTTTCTTTTAGTTATCAATTACGTCATTTTGGACTGACCTGTAACAAAATGTAATATTTCAAGAAACGGCATGGCTTTGTGGTGGTCATTTCCATCTAGACAGGCCTGGAGAGCTTTCGGTGACCTATATCCTAAGAGTTTTGCTAGATCCATACCCAAAGCCTCCCAAACTGGCTTTATAAGAGCTGCATTAAACATAAAAAAAAAATATTTTATATTTTTATTCTTCTATCTTTACTTACTTACAACAATACTTAATTTTTGTGTGTGGAAAATATGCCTTATTTGAAACAAAAAATACCTTTGCACATATTTATTTCAAAATGTCCTAAAACAGGTAGAATTAGGAGGTCTTGCAGGTCTTCGCTCTGCTTAATAATGCGATGGGATAGCAGGAAGGGGAGACCATCGCATCACACTAGTGTCCACTTTCTGTTTTCAGGAATGCCCACCTCAGCTTTAATGCTACTTAAAACAACTTGAACTGATTCATAAGTACAAGGGTTAACTGAGATGGGATTACTCATTTGAATTTTTGGAGCGTTCTTGTGATGATGGTCAATGAAGCAATATGCGTCTTATTTACTTTTTTCACTAAATTTCATTTTCTTGTTGTTTGCCAATAACAAAGATACAGTGTCCTCTGTAGATGTTAATCCAGGGCGCTGCTGAGAACATATGATGACTAACCTGTTCTTTATGAAATTTTCCCTTGAAAATCTAAACTTTTCTTCATAACAATTTATAAAATTCATAAGAGCTGATGTATGTGCTGCAATTTGAATGTTATAAATTTAAACCAGTTTCTTGGAGAAAATTCATTTATAATTTGTAGATCCGTGCAAGGGTTGGGGAAAAAATGGACGATTGTTGTAATCACACTCAGGATGGCTTTGGCATCATACCTCACTCTCCAATTTTTTGCTAAGACTTGGTTGTTATCAAAAAAGGTCATGTTCTGAAGGTATGGTAATAGGAAGTGTAGAATGTTCTTCATTCCAATTTAATAAAGATGAATAACTTCCTGCAGGGTGGGCGCCAGAATAAAGGTTGCAAACAGTCTTGCTATTCGACATATAATAACTCAATGAATTAACACTAAATGAAAATGGCATGATGACATTGCCCGCAACCAGAGCATATAAATGTTCTATGGCAAAAATGACTTTTTTTCCACCGCTGACATTTCGCTATATTTTTGCCATACAAAGACAATATAAAAGATATTAAAATATTGTTTCTGTCATTTACCCAAGTGTCAATATCACATTGCTTTAAAAAAGGCACATTTTTGTATTGACCCGACACATTTGCAATTATCGTCTTTCACTTTCATTGATTCTCTCTGTGCCACAGCTCGCATTATTTTCTCTATGTTGTTATCAGAAACATTGTTTGTTTTTATCAATGAGACTAATTGATCTACAAGCTGGTCATCAATGTTTTTTTCATGGTGCAAGAAATTTTTTTCTGCATAAAGGACACAAGCGGTGCATAAATACACTGACCTGTTTGAGAGGTGGTCATTCCACTACCGCAGCTTTAAATTTTTTACTTTCAATTCTATACACTTTGAATGCTTCATTTTCTGCAAACTGTTGGTGTTGTTTACAGCTGCAGACAGACATTGTAAAGCTACAATAAAATTAAGTGCGAACATAGCACATATCAATTTTGAGCCCCCCCCCCCCCCCCATTTCATTCATGTGCAAAACTCCCACAAATTTATGTATCATGTTATATAAATTTACTAAATATACATCATACTTTTAATTAATATTCAACAAATCATTAAAGCAACAAATATAATAAATATGAAAGAATTATATCTGTTTCTATTATCTTATTCATTTTAAGTCAGAGTGAGCTTCCATACTGTGCGCAGAATATACGGAAAAATTACCGTTAATCGAATCTCCTCTGCAACAACGTGCAATTCGTGACATCCGGTGTTGTGCAAAACGATTGGAAGAATATTGACAGGTAATTTTTATCAATAATTCTGGAAACTAAATATAGAAAGCCATATTTAGTAACAGATCGAAGCATCCTCAGGTTGTGTAGATTTAATTTTGTTCAAATCCAGTTCCCCAGGGGACAGGCAAGCGGTAAATCTAGTCTTCCCGACTCCCGATGCCCGCATAGTGGTTGTATGTTCGTTCGCCCTAAAATTTGTTCGCCCTTGACGCCGTTCGCCCTAATTCCCATTCGCCCAGAGTCCGATCGCCCTAAAACTTGTTCGCACAGGGTCCGTTCGCCTTATTTATGTTGCAGAAAGTTGAATAATGAAAATGGATTTTTTTAAATAAATTATATGTATATTGCTACATAAATTGCACACGGGAGACAACAGACTTATGCACGTGGTCACCTATAAATACCTGTCCTATCTCAGTCCTTTAATTGTTTTCAAAACATAACGCAGATTGTAAAAAAAAAAAAAAAAAAAAAAAAAAACAGGGATATGATCCCCAAAATTACAGTGACATTATTAAGTATAATTAAACCAATTAAGCATGTAAAAAGCAGGGTTCGACATTCACGCTCGTCACCTCATCATTTCCATCCTGTGATGATTTTTGACGACCTGATTTTCAGTCTGGCTCGCCCAAATGATGACCTGGGACGAGTTGGGAATATTCATTAATGATGTTTAATATTTTAAAATAAACTTTACAAGGCCTTGAAAACATTGTTTCCTGTAACCCGCCTCGTGGATTTTTCTTTCTGCCAAATCTGTGTTTGATCAATCAGCTGATATAATTTTTACCAAAAGTATTAAATTAAGTTTTATTTGAGATATAAAATATGTCAACCTAGTCAACAATCACCATAAATATAAAGAGTAATGATCATTTTTGTAACATATAGTATTTCCCCCCACAACTTTCTGATGTTCGTACAGCCATGTTGGGTGTCCACTGTAAACATCACATCTGGTTAATTCAGTCCAGGGATGTTTGACCCTATTTTTTTTTAGGCCTTTATGGTAAGTGAAAATGAATGTTTTAAACTAGAAACTTTATTTTGTGTCAATATGTGAGGTGAGATTATACATTACAGCTTTTGACATTCCATAAATGTCTGGTTTACATTTTATAATACAAAAGCACAACTTCTGTTAACAAATTTTTAATAACAATTGCACATTTTTGTTTCATTTGATATTTTGTTCGGGCGACCTGAAATTCATTCGGGCAACCTGAAATCAGTACCAAGGTTGCCCAAATGGCGAGACCAAATTTTGACGAGTGTCGAACCCTGAAAAAGCATTAATATCAAATTTGAATTATTTAATAATAAGATTACGGTAAATAAAAAAAAAAGAATACTGTAGCAACATTTGAAAAAAAAAAACAGTCAAATAAAATTAATAATAAATGTTAATATTTAATATATACTGTATATAAATATATTAGGGCGAATGAGATATATGGCGAATGAGATATAGGGCGAACAAGAATAATGGCGAACTGACCCTGCGCGAATGGCCTCATGCGAACAGATAGATAGGGCGAATGAACCTGATACCACTCTCAACTGTACTGGATTTTGTTTTTTTGGCGATTTCTTTTTTTATCGATGCACAGAAATTCTTCAAACTTTTCAGGCACATTTTCTAAGTTTAAATGAATTCATTAATACATAAAAACCTTCATAAATATACGTATTTAATACTGAATCAGCAGTATCACCTGCCAAAAAGGGGTAAATCTAGTACTCTGTTATATATGCGAAAACCAAAGACGGACATCAATGTTTTCGTAGAATCGCGATTAAATACAACAAATTAAGTATACATTTTTAAAGAAATAAGAGGAAAACTTCATTTACGCTCCAGTTAATTTGCATGCACAAAAACCCACATTTTCCCTTTTTTTTTTCTTGTTGAACTCTTTGCCACAACATGTTTGTGTTCCCAGGCTCTATGACGTGGACATGCATGGTTCTACCTCAGAGCCCCCCCCCCCCCTCCCTTTGAATGGCTATAGAACTTTCGGTGCTAACTACAGTCAGTTAAAACCCATGCAATGAATATTTAAATGTCATCTGACTAGTGACCAGCATTACAACTAACCAATAGATTACAGGTATAAATAAACACGAACATGTTTTATTCGAACCTTTGATAAATACATAACAATAAATATGTAAATTCAAGATTTTTTTAGCTCACCTGATCCATCTGTCGTGTGTCATCTGACATGTGTCGTCTGTAAACTTTAAAATTTTCGACTTCTTCTCAAGAACCACTGTGCCAGTTTCAACCAAATAGGTGGAAAAAAGTGTTTTTCCACCTACTTACGATGGTAACCCTGAATGCATACTTGCTTTACAAGGAACATTGCATAAAACTTCGAAAGAAACCTGTGTTGCATCAGATCTTTAGACAAGAAATCATTAAATAGCTGGTTGGTGAGACCATCCCTCAACCCACTATAGTCGGTGGAGCAGCCAATCCTAGAGATGTTGAACGTTTGACTGGTCGCCATTTCATTACCAAGATTGAGCAAAAGGAAGGACAAATGTCAAAGCTACCTAAGACTTGTCCTGTGTGTTCAACTACTAGTACTAAGGAAAGAGAAAATCTGTTGGAGATGGAAGAAAAACTGTAGCATCATCATATGAATGTAAAGTTTGTGATGTTGGACAGTCATCACTGTGTCTACACCCTTGTTTCAAGCTTTATCACACAAAAAAGGACTATAAACAGACCTACCAGGATTAAAACAGGATCAAAACATGGACAGTAGTGATTCAGACTTAATTAAGGTAGTCCGATACTCAGGAATAAATGGGCTCAATCTTGAAAAAATTGCTTTTATATGATAGATGTACATCCCAGCAATGGATTGATCGACATAATAAAAATTATATGTCAGCATGCTAATTCTTTTTGGCATTGCCTCTCACATGTACCCCCTAATGCCAAATATTGACACTTATGTAAATGTATGTGTCCTTGATTTTTTCTGTAAATAAGAATTAATTTCTAGACAATCAAGCTTTTATACACAAAGTAGGGTATAATCATGTCATTAAACCATATATTATCATTCTTTTTGCGTGAATTATTATAAATATGTACACTTCGTTATGCTAACGTATCAAAAAACAACACAAAAAATATTCTCCATACGTCAATCTGGATCATTTTTATGTTCCCGGATCGATAGATCGGGGGCGAATATTGTTTTTGTCCTGTCTATCTGTTTGTCTGTTTGTTGTCAGCTTTAACCTTCGCCATAACTTTTGAACCATGAGAGATAGAGACTTCATATTTGTTGTCCACTAATTAAGTTCTTTCAAATGCACCATGGTCAATGACTTTGTGACCTTGACTGTGACCTATATGCTAAAAATAGCTTTTATGAACCTGCGCCATAACTTTTGAACCATAAGAGATAGAGATTCATATTTGGTATGCATAATCCACTAATTAAGTTCTTTCAAATGACACCAAGGTCAATGACCTTGTGATCTTGACTGTGACCTATATGCTAAAAATAACTTTTTCAAACTTTGTTGCCACCGGGTGCTTAGTGTTTCACAAACACCTCTTGTTTAATATTTTTATGGACTCAATCTTTGAAAAATTGTTTTCATTTTATAAAATACCATCTCAGAAAAAGGATTAGCTAATAAAAATTATATGTTGACATATTACTTCTCTTGGTATAAGCTCTGCACTAAATAGACCCCCACTGATTTTTTCCACCCAAAATAATATTTTGCCACATATCTCACTACAAATTAGTAGTTTGAGAGTATTTGCAATATTAAACATTTGTAAAACAATAATTTAACACCCAATACATACTATCCCTAAAATTTACCTTGTTTTAGATAAAAAAAAACATACCGCCTGTCAATCAAATTAGAGCCAACAATTCTGACCATGACTGACAGATTCTACGTAGATTAATTGATAAACTTGGTACCAAAAGTAAGTGTACTGCAAATGTATATCAATCACTTTCATCTACCCTGAAGATATTCCTGCATTATAAACATGCTTCAATTCGAAGGGGGGGGGGGGGGGGGGGAATCATGCCTCTTTTAGTTACAGCTGTGATAATTACATGAAGTAAATAATTCAGTGATTGAAAATAATTAAATTTCATTAAATTTGTCACTGTCAAATTGTGCCCAATTCCTCCTCTTGAAAGCTATCGGTATTAACTTATACTTGCCCGCCGACAATATCAGTAACTATTGAATCACAGGGACTTGAGACAAACTTACCAAAATCGTGTATATAGTATAATAGGGAATCTTTCCATAGAAATTTATAGGGAAAAGTCTTATAAAAATCATTTAAAGCCATGATTAGTCAAAGAAATATGGAAGCATCCTCAGTGTAGATTCAAGTTTGCTCAAATCATGCCACCTTGGAGTGTAGATTGGGACCACTTATATACATGTATTTAATATCATACTTTTCAGTACTGAACTGATTTCTGCTTTCTTGTAACCAGTGCTAAGGTGAGCAATGTGGCCCATGGGCCTCTTGTTTGATTTGAGTTTATGCTATTGCTTGTTTTTATGAATAGAAATGGAAGTAATTAATATTACAGATTTGTTGTGTAATTTTTTGTAGATGTTAAAAGAAAATGGCCTCTAATGAACCTGAGCCATTGACTGAGAGAACTCAGAAAAGGAAAGCAAGTGATACTGAAGAGGATGAAAAAGCAAGTTCTGTAAGAATTATGATATTTTTAGCTCACCTTAGACAAGTCAGCTTTTCTGATGGAAGAGTGTCAGGCATGTTTCTATTGAAATTTACTTTGGTATATACGCAGAAAAAAACTGTTAAAAAATCTTTGTAAGAAGACCAGGGCCTCAATATAACTATTACTATACCCCACACAACAAATTGTGGATGGTATAATGATTTTGACCTATCCATCAGTCAGTTAGTCCATAGTCCTGTTCTTGTCTTTTCTAAACCACTGTACAGAATTTCATGAAACATTTGTTAATAAGGACTTAATGTTTAGATTTTCATATTACTGTAGATTCCTAAATAATAATAGGAATAAATTATCGCGTAATTACCGCGAGAAACACCAATCGCGAAATAAAATCACTCGCTTTTATTTTTATGGTGCTTTAATGTTTGTAAAATCTCTAGATAAATCACCCATTGGCGAATTATTGTCCTCGCGATTTGACTCCCTTGGGCCATTTCACAATATTAAGTACTCGCATAAAATAAGGAATCTACAGTAACAGGAAATTCTGATTCAATTTTTTTTACTCAGAGAAAACAAGAGAATTAAATTTATGTAGCCTACGCTAGTAAAATCTTATTCTCCATCAAGGCTGAGGTTACTCTGGTGACCCATGGGCCTCTCATTTAAATAATTTACAGTTTTTAGCTCACCTGAGCTGAAAGCTCAAGTGAGCTTTTCTGATCACCCGTTGTCCGGCATCCGTCCAGCTGTAAAGGATCATTCTTTATAAGGCTCTTTTGCAGCCTACAATGACTTCAGAATTTCAGTTAATATTTTCCTCCTTAAAAACTGCATGAATCATCAGGGTAATGATCCAATTTAATGACAAATGTTGTTTGGTTACTGATTCTGTAATATTTATTATGACATAGGGTCACAAAGTGATGTACCATCGGTCCGTATTAGCATTATGGCAAAGGAAAAACTCAGGAGGGTCGGTGCCTTTGGCAACTTCTACACATGTCATAACCACCTTTAACCAACACCAAAATTTGTATGCAACTTTCTTATTAACATAAAAAGTGACTACTAGCTTATGAACTTGGTTAAAGGTGGTTATGACATCTAAATAAAATCTTTTTGCTTTATTTTATCAATAAATGCAGGGAAAGCTACTTGCTCAATGTTATACATAGAAATATATAGGAAAAAATCTTTAAAAAGCATTTTCAGGTAGTGTAGGTTCAAGATTGTTCAAATCATGACCCCCTTGGGGTAGGGTGGGCCCACAACATTGGATCAAAGTGTACATAGGAATATGTAAGAAATATCTTTAAAGATCTTCTTCTCAGGAACAGCAAACCATAATTAGTCATCAGGTAGTGTAGCTTTTCTTAGCCCAAAATGCTTAGGTGAGCAATGTGGCCATGGGCCTCTTGTTGATAAGCTTCTTTCTCTTTCACAAAGGACAATGAAACACCAAGCTCCAGTAAGGCAATCTTACATCAGAGAAAGAGAAGTGCGCCATCATCACTTGAATCAGATTATACTTCTTGGAGTGAGTCTGGAGACGAAGCAAATTCAAGTTCTTGGAGTGAGTCTGGAGACGAAGCAGATTCAAGTTGCTTAAAGAGTCCACTTTCAGGAAAGGAAAGAGGAAATGATTCAGCAAGTCAATGGACATATAAAGATCTAATGCACTTAAATATCTTTTATGAGGAGAAACCAGAACCCTTAGAAAAATTTCTCATAGAAGTAAAAGATGCTTTCATGAATGAGAAAGGCTTTTGTCCTGATCCCAGCAAAATTACCAGCTCTTTCAAGAAACAACTTGAAGAAATATTGACATTTTCATATGATTTGAAAAAAATTAGAAAAATTTTAAGAGTGCCGCATAAAACTATGGAGGCACAGAAAGTAGAAGAGGAGATTAAGAAAAGTATACAAAAGACATGGGAAATGCCAGAAAAAGTCTTATTTGATAAGCAGTAAGTAATTAGTTACCTGTTTCAATGTCAGTTTTTCTAATTAATGTATGAGTGTCCAGCATCCATCTATCTGTCAGTTTTTTCTGTCTGTTATGTGTTTTCTGTAAACTTTTCACATTTTAAAGTTATTTTCCAGAACCACAAACAAATTTCAACCAAACTTACCACAAAGCATTGTTGGGTAAAGGGAATTCAAATTTGTTCAAATGAAGCGCTTAAGGGCTTAAGTTACTCAGATGAAGGTTGTGACTTGATAATGATTTTCCTCTGGTCCGTTTGTCCATCCATCTCTGTTGTACGCACGGTAAATCTAAGTTAACATGGTTATGACGAGCAAGAGTGCTTATTCCAAAATTATGAAATTCATGGCCCCTGGGTCAGGGATTCTGATGTCAAGGCATGGCTGTATTGATCATATACTGAAAATGCATTATTTCTTTGAAAATCTTTTTCTCTGCATGCTCCTGGGTTTTAAGCAAACAAAAAAAGTTCATTGTTATAATAAGCAAGAATGCCTCTTCCAAATTTGTGAATTTTATGAACTCTGAGTCAGGGGTACTGGTGTTAGGGCGGGACTGTATTGATCATATACTGAAAAGGCATTAATTCTTTGAAAATATTCTTCTCTGCTCATGGGTATTTAGCAGATAAACTAAGTACATGGTGACAGTGTGAATAACATTGCTGCTACCATTATGAAACAGAAAACAAAAAGTTTTTCTGAAGTCTATATCATTACTGATTAAAATGGAATATATTTCAAATTTATGACTTCTTAATTTGCTAAATGTGTCAAAATTGCAGAATTAAATGTGTTTAAGAATTATAATATCCCAGCTTTTACTCATTGACTTGAAACTTGGAATCAGAAGCCACCTGTCTTAAGTGTCTGTGACCAGTTTGTCATTCTTCCCTCAAGTGGCCTCTTTTAAAAACAGGTGCGACTGTGTTCCATTTGAGAAATGGAGCAAATATTGGAAAAAAAATGTAATAATATTTTTTTTTGTTAAAATTTCATAGAACATTGGAATCACCTGTGGGAAAATTTGCAGAGATGTATGCTGTACAGTTGAATTCAGCTTTGATGACATTTGCACGGGAGACTGATCATCTGATAAATTTAGTATTATATGAAGAGCCAGAGTCAATGTATCCTTCACAGACATGTGGTAAACATTTATTTGTTTAATATTGAAATTAGCTGCAATTTCTTTCTAAAACTCCTCTCACATTTTTAGCAATATAGCTAATTTAGCTTATTAGCTCACCTGAGCTGAAGGCTCAAGTGAGCTTTTCTAATCAAAATTTGTCCATTGTCTGTTGTTGTCGTCGGAGTCATTGTCATCGTAAACTTTTTACATTTTCATCTTCTTCTCAAAAATCACTTGGACAATTTCAGTTTCAGCAAACTTGGAACAGATCTAGAGTATCTTTGGGTCAAGGGAATTCAAGTTTCTTCAAACGAAGGGCCATGCCGTCTTCCAAGGGGAGATACATAGCTAAGAATTAGTGAAAAATTAATGACATCATTTAAAAGTCTTCTTCTCATCAACCACTGGGCCAGAAAAAAATGAAACTTATGTGGAAGCATCCTCAGGTAGAGTAAATTCAAGTCTGTTCAAATCATGACCTTCAGGGGTAGGGTGGAGGCACAATGGACGATCAAAGTTTTACATAGGAATATATTGGAAAAATCTTTAAAAGTCTTCTTCCCAAGAACCACTGGAGTAGAAGAGTTAAAACTTTTGTGAAAGTTTCATTACATTACATAGTGTAGATCAAATTTTGTTCAAATCATGGCCCCTGGGGGTAGGGTGGGTCCACAAGAGGTGATCAAAGTTTTACATAAGAATATATAGGAAAAAATCTCCTTTTCAGGCACAGGGAAGGCATGAATAGTCCATTTATATGGAAGCATTCTCCAGTATGTAGATTCAAGTTTGTTCAAATTGTGACTCCAGGGGGTAGGGTTGGCCACAAGTAGGTGATCAAAATTTTCACAAACTAGGAATATATAGAGAAAAAAAAACTTTTAAAATCTTCTGCTTAACAACAGCAAGCACATGATTACTGGTAGTCATACATGTATTAATAAGGAGGCTCTCTCATGTAGTGTAGATTCGAACTTTTTTAGCTCACCTGAGCTGAAAGCTCAAGTGAGCTTTTCTGATCACCTGTTGTCCGGCGTCCGTCTGTCTGTCTAGCTGTCTGTCTGTCCGTCCGTCTGTAAACTTTTCACATTTTCAACTTCTTCTCAAGAACCACTAAGCCAATTTTAACCAAAGTTGGTACAGAGCATCCTTGGGTGAAGGGGAGTTTAAATTGTTAAAATGAAGGGCCAACCCCTCTTACAAGGGGAGATAATCAAGAAAAGACAAAAATTGGGTGGGGTTATTAAAAAATCTTCTTCTCAAGAACCACAGGGCCAGAAAAGCTGAAACTTATGTGGAAGCATCCTTGGGTAGTGCAGGTTCTAAATTGTTCAAATCATGGACCCCAGGGGTAGGGCGGGGCCACAATAGGGAATCAAAGTTTTACATTGAAATATATAGGCAAAATCCTTGAAAATCTTCTTCTCAAGAACCACTGGGCCAGAAAAGCTGAAACTTATGTGGAAGCATCCTTGGGTAGTGTAGATTCTAAATTGTTCAAATCATAGTCCCCGGGGGTAGGGCGGGGCCACAATAGGGAATCAAAGTTTTACATTGAAATATATAGGCAAAATCTTCTTCTCAAGAACCACTGGGCCAGAAAAGCTGAAACTTATGTGGAAGCATCCTTGGGTAGTTTAGATTCTAAATTGTTCATATCATAGCCCCCGGGGGTAGGCGGGGCCACAATAGGGAATCAAAGTTTTACATTGAAATATATAGGCAAAATCTTTGAAAATCTTCTTCACAAGAACCACTGAGCCAGAAAAGGTGAAACTTATTTGGAAGCATCCTTGGGTAGTTCAGATTCTAAATTATTCAAATCATGGACCCCGGGGGTAGGGCGGGGCCACAATAGGGAATCAAAGTTTTACATTGAAATACATAGGCAAAATCGTTAAAAATCTTCTTCTCAAGAACCACTGGGCCAGAAAAGCTGAAACTTATGTGGAAGCATCCTTGGGTAGTGTAGATTCTAAATTCTTCAATTCATGGCCCCTGGGGGTAGGGTGGGGCCGCAATAAATATTACAAAGGGGAGGTCTTGTGAAGAACAGCAGTGCCAAAGTAACTCAGGTGAGCGTTGTGGCCCATGGGCCTCTTGTTTTAAAATTATACAGACCCTGATCATGCTACTACCACAAAGAAGCTTGTTACTTTTGCTCGCTTTTCTTTTTCATGCAAACCGTTTAGCGTTTTGTGTAAATTGTGTAGTGTTTCGTGCTTACCATGTAGCGTTTCATGTTAATCATGCAGCGTTTCCTGTAAGCTTCAAAGTGTTTCATGCAAACCCTGTAGCGTGCGTGCGAGAGGAGTGTGAAAAACATGCAACTTTCATGTAAGAAGCGTGTGAGAAATATGCAACTTTCGTGTAAGAACGGTGTGAAAAACATGCGATTTTCATGTAAGAATTGTTTAGGATCATTCGGAAGTCATTTCATTTTAAATATGGCTACCGATGGGTCAAGATGTCAAAATGTTTTGTTTGTAGCCAATATTGTTCGAAGATATACTGGTGGTATTTTACGAGTGAAAATAGAAATAAACATTACGGGAACAACAAAATAAAATTACCCTGTAATGTATTATATATTTGTTTGTCCTTTTTTCTTATGATAAGATGGACAGAAAATGTGCTCAAAGTAATTAATTATGTGTACATCAATTTTAAGGGCATTGAGTTCAATACATTTTTCTTTTCAAAGAAAGCAATATTTAAATTTTTTTTATCATCTTGTCCTTATACATTGTATTGCTAGACTGTGATAAAAATATTTGAAACAATGTGTCATTTATAGTCTTTTTAAGCATATGTTTGTTTGATTTATAATTGTCAAATAAATGAGGTATAATTCACATGCATTGACGAATGCAGAGTTAAATATTCCCCAGATGAGGGGGGGGGGGGGGGGGGGGGTCAGGAGTCAAATGAAAAAACAAACTTTCAATTTTAAGCTCACCTGAGCATAATTTCAATTTAAAGCTCACCTAAGCAAAAGAGATTGTGAATGACACATTTTTTTTTCTGTGCATAATTTAGACTCTAGTGAAAAGGATTTTTACGTAGACGATGATAGGCATTTCACCAGTCAGGTTGCAAATCAAATGACAATTAGTAATCAATTACAATTGAACATTGAATATTTCTATCGGCTTATATATAGTACTGATGTAGTGAGTTTAAATTTAAATGTAATGTTAAAGATTACAATTTTTAATTTATCTATGAATAATTCATAATGATTTAAATAATTCTTAGAGACCCCAAATAGAAGATCCAGATTGAGACCAAAGGATGCGAGAATCATGCACAAAACGTTTTGTGCAGACTATTTTGTAGACCATGCAGCATTTCATGTAAACTGTGCAGCATTTCATGCAAGCCCTGTAGCAAGCATGTACTGTTCGTACAGTGTGCATGTCGGATAGTAGCACATTTTAGGGTCTGTAACTCCTGAGTGGTAGGGTTGGGCCACAATAAGTGATAATAGTTTTATGTAGGAATATACACATGTAGGGAAGAAATCTGCTGCTGGAGAAAAGTAGGGCCATAATGACTCAGCTGAGGGATGTGGCCCATGCCATGGGCCTCTTGTTGGAATATGATTTGATGGTGTCCTGTAGATGTGCAATATTAAGATTTTGGAGTTTTCATTTCCATTCTGGGGGTCCACTGGGGAGTGGGGGTTGAAAATGACATTTTTCTACCAAAAAAAAAAAAAGAAAATAATAATAATAAAATAAAAAATAAAAAAAAAAACCTGGTTTGCATAACTTCTCTCACATTGAAGCAGTAGCTAAATTATATTTTTGAAGAATAATTGTTTGTGTACTGTAGACATGCAATAAGGTTTTGGAATTTTCTTTTAGTTGATTAATTTTTCCCAAGTTATTTAGAAAAAGTAGTTGTTATTATACCCCCACTTGGTAAGTTGGGGTATATGATGATGTGGGTGTCTGTTACCATCCCTTATCTGCAACTCCTTACACCACTGAATGCAATTTAGTAAAACTCTGATTTTCTTTTACATAGTGACATTGTGCATCTTATTTCAATCAGACACATAATTGGGGTTTCCCATAGCAAAACATGGACAATGCCATTCTTTCTATAATATTGGGGGTACCCATCTCTCATCAGCGACTCCTCCTCTACCACTGAATAAAATCTTTTAGGACTTTACAGAATCCTTATTAGTGTCTTTGTGCACCTATTTTATGTTTCAATCGGACACATATTTTGGGGTTTCCCATAGCAGAACATGGATTTTGCCACTATACTCGAGAAAGGGGTACCCATTTTGTTAATGCAGCTCCTCCTCAACCCCTTTATGAAATTCAATGGAACTTTCAAAGAATCTCATTTACATTCTGCCAAGAAATGGACTTTACCATTATACTCATATGGGAGCAAGGGTATCATTTTTTGAGCTCAGTGCTCATAGTTATACTGTACCTTTTGGTTTAATCAACTAATATCCAAAAAAGTAAGTTTATTGTAATTTTAACCTTGAGAATTCAAAGTTAAAGTAACTTAATAAACTAATTTTCAAAGAAACTGACAAAATGTCTGCTTCAAAAGAAGAGCAGAAAGGGAGAGGAAGAGGAAAAAGGAGAAGAGGAAGAGCTGGAGGAGGAAAAGAGGGGCCACAGGATCATCAAGAGGATTCAAAGTGTGGGCAAACCACTGAAAGCATATTCGAGAACTTCTGTAAATTCTTTGGAAATGTGTTTTTTTTACAAGAAGGGTTAGTATATTTAGTTTGTAAGGCTGAAATTTTTTAATAAAATGGTTTACAAGAGCCCTAATGGCAGTTTTAGCTAAAAACAAATTGAAATAAAAGCCCTTGTTTATTCTATTAGCTCACCTAAGCCGTAGGCTCAAGAGAACTTTTCTGATCAAAATTTGTCCATTGTTGTTGGAATTGATGTCATTGGCGTTGTTGTTTTCGTAAACTTCTTCTCCAGAACCACTGGGCCAATTTCAACCAAACTTGGCACAAAGTATCCTTGGGTGAAGGGGATTCAAGTTCTTCAAATGAAAGCCCTCTTTCAAGGGGAGATAATCACAAATTAGTGAAAAATTAATGGCATCTTTTAGAAATCTTCTCATAAACCACTAGGCTAGAAAAGATGAAACTTATGTGGAATCATCCTCAGGTAGTGTAGATTCATGTTTGTTCAAATCATGACCCCTGGGGGGTAAGGTGGGGCCACAATGGACGAGCAAAGTTTTACATAGGAATACATAGGAAAAATCTTTATATGTCTTCTTCATAAGAACAGCAAAGCCATGATTGGTCATTTTTATAAGGTAGCATCTTCAGGAAGTGTAGATTCAGATTTGTTCAAATAATGACCCCAGGGGATAGGGTGGGACCACAATGGATGAGCAAAGTTATACATAGGAATATATAGGAAAAATCTTGTTCTCAAGAACAACAAAACTATGATAATTGGTCATATTTAAAAGGTAGCATCCTCAGGTAGTGTAGATTCCAGTTTGTTCAAATCATGACCCCAGGGGTAGGGTGGGGCCACAATGGACGATCAAAGTTTTACATAGGACTATATAGGAAAAATCTTTAAGAATCTTGTTCTCAAGGACAACAAAGCTATGATTGGTTATATTTATATGGAAGCATCCTCAGGTAGTGTAAATTCAAGTTTGTTCAAATTATTACACCTGGGGGGTAGGGTGGGGCCACAATGGATGAGCAAAGTTTTACATAGGAGTAAATAGGAAAAATCTTCTCATGAACAGCAAAGCCATGATTGGTCATTATCTATTTGGAAGGATCCTCAGTTAGTTTAGATCCCAGTTTGTTCAAACCATGACCCCGGGGGTAGGGTGGGCCACAATGGATGAGCAAAGTTATACATAGGTATACATAGGAATTTTTTTTTAATCTTCTCAAGAACAGCAAAGCCATGATTAGTTACGGTATATGGAAGCATCTTCAGGTAGTGTAGATAGATTCAGATTTGTTCAAATCATGACCCCCGGGGATAGCGTGGGACCACAATGAAAGTTCAAACTTGTAAGGAAAAAAGCCACAATTCGGCAAAGAAAAGTGTAAGCATCCTTAGTGTAGATTCAAGTGTGTTCAAATCATACCCCCCCCCTTTTTTATGGGTAGGTCGGGGCCACTTATGCATTTCTACTTTTAAATACTGAACTAATTTCTGCTCTTTCCTAGCCACAGTGCTCACGTGAGCGATATGGCCCATGGGCCTCTTGTTTAAAAAGAAGCTAACACATTTTGTAGCACAAAAATTTCAGAATCAAAACAAACATGCATCTAAAAAAGTCATTAAACAATAGTAGTTCAAAAAATACACGTGTCGACAGTGGTATTTAAAATTGTCCAGGGAGTATGTTTCAAATTCATTCCAAGTGTTTATGCCCAATGTATTTTATTTATTTATTTATTTTTTTAGGGGGGGGATATATAGTAGTCCTTCATTCACATGGCAGAAAAAAGCATTTTAAAACACTTTCATCTTTTGTCTTTCAGTTATATACCTCAGAGATCCTTTTCTTTTCAAAATAAAAAGTTGAAGAACGTGCCTAACCTGGTCTATCATTTCTATTCTGGAAAGAAGGATCAAGCAAAGGACATTGTGTTATTTGTAGAGGTAATTTTGATTTATTAGCTTATCTGAGCTGAAAACTCAAATGAGCTTTTCTGATCACATTCTCTGTGGCGTTCATCTGTCCATTCATCAGTAAAGTTTTAACATTTTCAACTTCTCAAGAACCACTTGGCCAGTTTCAACCAAACTTTCCAAAATGCATTCTTAAGTAAAGGGGATTCAAGTTTGTTCAAATGAAGAGACACACCCTTTTATAAAGAGAGGGTAAAAATTTGGTGATATGTTTTAAAAATTTCCTCAAGAACCAGGGGTCCAGAAAAGTTGTAACTTATATGAAAACTTCCTGACTTAGTTTTCTTAAGCTTATTAGAACCTGACACTCAAAGCATTTGGTCAATTGTTTATATGCATGACAAACAATTAAGAGTGTTTCGGTGGTATTAACAGCACATGTCATTTAAGATTGTATAGTAAGGCCCGTCTCATCAGGGGTCCACCTTATGCATAAAACAATCTCTGAGAAATTCATTTGATTTTGATCTGATCTAATGATCAGATCACATATGTTCTTGTGTTTACTGTATGCAACCATAGGAAGTGTTGTGAATAAGTCTTTACATACTTCATCATGTTGTATTTCATAAGTTGTTTCCTCAGCCCCTTTATACATGGGTTAAACTTGGTGACCAAAACATTGAGTACAGCTTTTTTCTACCAGTGTTCTACCACAATATCAGTTCATATATGCTTAAACTAAGAACACTTTCAAACAAGTTTTAAAAGGGTTATTATATTCTTCAATGCAGCTATCACCATCGCTGCCATCACTATCATCAATCTTTTCTGGTTCCGGCATGTCTTCTGCATTTTGCAAATACTCTGTCCAGTTGTTTATGTGGCAGAATGGTTGTGCTAGGTATTGCACAAATGCTAAATACAAAAAATTGTTGACGTTATGTGCTTAAAATGTACAGGAGTACTGAGTACTTCTGGTTTTTGTTTACAACATACTCTGGTAATAACGTAGGATTTTTTTTACAGTCCCTTGAGATATGTTATAAAAGAAGTATACTGTATTTGCTATCATTAAATTTTAGGTAAAGAAAGCCCCTGTAACTGAAGATGCAACCGATATAAGACAGCTAGTAGGACAAAATGTTATGGGACAATTTGGAGCAGAGCTTCTTGGACAGTCACTACATTCAGTATTTTATCCCAATTCTCTTGGAATTCTTTGTATGGAAACAAAAGTAAGAATTGCTTAACCAGTACTAACAGCTATCTAGATGAGATGGTAAATTCAGTTGTTTGAAGTACATCAATATTAATGGAGATGTATTGTTAGGCCACTCAGGTGACCTACTGCCATTGATCTTTGTCCATTGTATATTGGTCTTATTGACACAAAAAACTTCAAATTTATCATAGTTCATAGACAAATTTTGATGAGGGAGAATATATGTAACATTGACCCAAAAAAATGATGTATAAATTTGTTAATGTGTAATAAAAAAGTATAAAATGAAATCTTACCAGGAAGGAACAGTTTATTACGATTATAATTACAATTAAAATTTATTTTTACAATAACATCAAAGTTTCATATAAATACTATGCCTTAACAATTTAAGCCATTTATTTTCAGTTAGACTGTTTTAAGCTCACCTGGGCCAAAGGCTCAAGTGAGCTTTTCTGATCACAATTTGTCCGGGGTGTCTGTCTGTCTGTCCATTTGTAAACTTTTCAAATTTTCAACTTCTCAAAAACCACTGGGTCAATTTCAACCAAACTTGCCACAAAGGATCCTTGGGTAAAGGGGATTCAAGCTTTTTAAAATGAAGGGCCACGCCCCCTTCCGAAGGGAGATAATGAAGAAATAGTGAAAATTGAATGGCATCATTTAAAAATCTTCTCAATTAAAACCACTTGGCCATGAAATATATAACGTAAGTGGAAACATGCTCAGGTAGTGTAGATTCAAATTTGTTCAAATCAAGACCCCTGGGGGTAAGGTGGGGCCACATTGTGTGATCAAAGTTTTACATAGGAATATATTGGAAAAATCTTTAAAATATCTTCTTCTCAAGAACAGCAAAGCCATGATTAGTCTTATCTTTTATGGTACAACCCTGACAAAGTTTGCAAGGTATGGAAATCTGGAAAATGCTCTCATAAAACCCCTGTGCCTTTGTGTATATGAGGATCTATGAAATTAGACAGACTAATGGCAGAGCTTTGTAATTTTAACAACTGATAGAATACTACTATCTTCTACTATGCATTCTAAATGTTATAATATCCTCCCCTGAGGCCCAGTGCAGGGGGTCAGAATCTCTGCTTTGGTCATTAAGCATTTTTAAGGTAAGACTGTGGAAAAGATATCCGAGAGCAATTGCAAATTAAAATTGTAGAATTGCGCATCTGATACGTGGCCATAGAAACAGGGGGACATGGGGAAGCACCCCCCCCCCCCCCCCCGGAATAATTTTGCCGATATAAATAGTATACTATAGAACACATCACTGCTTTATGGATGGGCCTCCACAATAATTAACTGTTAGTAACAGAATGACTGTTATTGAAAGGAACACAAATAAAAACAGAAAGTAATGAACTCAGGTAATGCAATCTTTAGATAATTTTTTTTTTACATTCCTTATAAGTCACAGTCCTTTCCTATCAGTCGGTCTAATTCACAAACATTTTACACATGCGGACCACTCATTTACTAGACTGGGTAGGTTGGATGTGCCTTAATGCAAACCCTGGGAATATGTAGGAAAAATGTTTTTTTTTTTTTTTAAAGAACAGCAAAGCCATGCTTAGTCAAATTTATATGGAAGCATCCTAAGATAGTGTAGATTCAAGTTTGTTCAAATCATGGCCCCTGTAGGTAGGTGGGCTCAGAATGGTTGATCAAAATTTTACAAAAGAATATATAGGAAGAATCTTTAAAAGTCTTCCTCTTGAGAACAGTAATCCCATGCTTAGTCATATTTATATGGAAGCATTCCCAGATAGTATACTAGATTCATATTTGTTCAAATCATGGTGGGGCCACAATGGGCAAAGTTTTACACAGGAATATACATGGGAGATATCTGCTGATGAAGAACATCAGGGCCATAGTGTCTCAAGTGAGCACTGTGGCCCATGAACCTCTTGTTTTCTCTCAGGATACCTGCTTTAAAAACTGTAAAGAACTAAAATTTTCATGATTTTATTTATGCATCATGAGTAGTACAAGTGCTTTGTCTGATTTGTGCAAACTGTTTTGTGTAAATCATGTAGCAATTTATGCAAACCAGACAGCATTTCATGTAAACCTTGCAGCGTTTTATGTATACCATGTAGGGTGTGTGAACCATTTGTGCATTTTGGGGTAGAAGCACATTCAGAGTTAGTACCCTACAAATCAGACCTAGTGAAGAGAGAAGGGTTACACAGGTGAGCATTGTGGTATTTATGGTTCTCTTGTTTCTGTTGTAGTTAATTTTTGCATTCCTGAAAATATCAGATGAGCATGCTACCGGCATATGTTTGGGAGATAGAGGAACAGCAGATGATCAAGGGAAGGTTATTTACACCGAGCCATTTGACATGTTGAAAGCAGAGGACAGATTGAAAATTGCAGACTTCCTGTTCTGGTTAGGTATTGTTCAAGATTCCAATAAATTTAGCTTTTTCTGAAATGCAAATGGGGATATATTTTGTGGACCCACTTACGTTCATCCATTGGTTATCTGATCATATTAATTGTACGTAAGATGGTATACATATTACATTATGAACATTTATTTAAGTAGGGATGAGACTGAATTCATAAAACAAATGCTATATATAAGCATTTCCCATGAACAATTATAATTAGATGTATCAAAAACATGTATCAAACAACATGTAAACTTATATTTTTCATTATGGAAAATTTCAATACAGTATACTTGTGTACAAGAAAAAATTGTGCAGTTTGATTTATTAAAGGTTAATGTATCTGGCACTGAAGCCACACTTCTCTAACATCATTGGAGATGTTTACAAATTAAAATAATGTCAGAGTTTTTCAAAGTATTTTCCTTTCACAAAATTAGGCTTTTTGTTTCTTGAAACCCACAACTAAAACCAGAATTGAACCAGTCTTTATCATATGAAGCAACTGCTTCATTAACATCAAATTTTATATCCTATATGAAACAAATTTTATACTAAGGCATTCTAAAACTCATCCATCAGAGTTTAGATAAGTAAATAAACCATTTAAAAAAAAATCTTAATCAAATTTCATACTCAGGCATCCTGTGATGGTGAACTGCCTCAGTCTGCAACAGATCTTGCATCAGAGAAACTTATGTTTAAAGAAATATTGAATATTCCCCCTAAAAAGCCCCAAAAAATTAAGTAAATTAAATGAAGCATGTGAATTATTTGAAGGAAACTATTGAAATATCTATTGGCTCCCTTTTTTACGCAGTGCCTGACATTTAAATTGCTTGTTCCAAGTTCAACACAAAATTTGATTACATTTTAGATTTACAGCTAGTTTTCCAGAATCATTAATCTTTCAAAGTATTATCTCTGAGTCTCCTAGGAACAATAATTATCAATAAAACTTTACAAAACAGTAAAAATGACCTGAAAATTACAAAAGACTATGTAATGCTTGTAAATTTTCTTCAATTTGGTGAAAAAATTTCAGTTCATTTCATATATTTTTTTATGTTTAGTGTACATTAGACATTACAATATGATATGCACTTTTTTGACTTTACATATAATTTTTGATAAACAATAAGGCACCTGACATTATTTTTCTAACAAAAAAAATATGCCTCCAACCTCGTATTAATGGGTGGGAGTATATTATTATAAGAAAAAATAAATATCAGATGCTGGATTTGACCTGTATTTCATTTCCCAGATGAGTGACCAGTTTAAAGTTTTTGGAGCAAGCTCATTCCAGTGTAACTTGAAGCTCTATCTGGACCAAACTTGCACGAAAATTGCATCTTGGGATGCACAATATCAGACTAGCTGCGGATGCTAGATTTGACAAACATTTTCCAGATGAGTGACCAGGTTAAAAGTTTTTGGAGCAGCTCATTCCAATGTAACTTCAAGCCCTACCTAGACCAAACTTGCATGGATGGTGCTTCAAGAAATGAACACTCAGACTTGCTTTGGATGTGGATTTGACCTACATTTTCTGTATGAGTGACCAGGTTTAAGTTTTTAGAGCAGGTACATTACAGTGTAAATTGAAGCCTTACTTCAACCAAACATTGATGGATGATGTATCTAGGGATGCACACTACCAGATTCTTTTAGGATGCTGGATTTGACCTACATTTTCTGGATGAGTAACCAAGTTAAACGTTTTGGAGCAGGTCCATTCCAGTTTAATTGTAAATCCTTCATAGAGCAAACCTACATTGATGATACATCTAGGGATGCATGAAAATTTTTGAGCAGGTCCATTCCCAAGTAATTATAAAGCCTACCAGGGTCAAGCATGTATGAATGATGCATCAAGGGATGCACACTAACAGAGTTGCTTTATCTGCTAGATCTGACCTGCATTTTCTGGATGAGTGACCAGTTTAAAGTTTTTAGAACAAGTCCATTCCCAAGTAACTGCAAGTCCTACCTGGACCAGAATTGCATACATGTTGCATCTATGGATGCACATTACTAGATTATTGGTTTAGTGTGGGACTTCTACAGCTTCATAATGTCTTTTACACTATTACAAGTTAAAACCAGTAGAGCTACACTGAATCTCATCAGAAACTTTCTGTTACATTTTTATTAAATTAACAATTTTGAATACTGAACAAGTTTATGAATTTTCATATGGATATTTAGTACATATTGATTATTAGAACTTGTATCGTATTTTTACAGAAGAATCCGATCTCATGTTTTTGTAGAATTTATTAATCTAATGTAAATTAAGGACCTTATTACCTAATTGTTTTCTAGACAATGTACATATTTATTTATAATATTTGGCATATTTTTATGTTTCAAAACACATAATTGATATCCATGATGTAATGGAATTTGTACTCAATGTAATTTTACTGGTCTTTTATTTAGCACAAGTTAGTATGATGAATTTGAAAATGAATGAACTGATGATATGTACTTGTACATATAGACCCTCATTTTCTAGTCATTTATATGCATTGGAGCACAAATTAGTCTGATGAAAATTGAAAAAAATTGCATTGATGATTATATGATTAATGATTTTACCTGTTTGAACATTTTAACACATTGATGTATAAAAGTACAGTCATTTTAAAGGGGCCTGTGGACACAGTTTCATTGCCGTTTTGTGTACAATTGTTAATTTCTATTTTTGTTCAATTAATAACTTCTGCTTTATGAATTGAACTTGCATGAAAATTCTTTAAATACGGTGACCATGATATTCTTCATAACATTACATCAAACATCTGTGTTTTTAAACATGGGCATGAGCTCCATTATTGTCTTTTTGACCTTGCTTCGTGACCCCAATTTCGCAGTCTTCAATTTTAGGGGTTTTTTTTATCTTATGTATTTGTATTTATTGTTAAAATATGTCTACCAAATTTAGTTATGAGTTAAATAAATACGTTATGACAAAAGTCTACGTATTTTTTTAATGCTCTCATATTGCATTTACATGTATATCTCAGTCTTGTTCGTCGGAAAAGCAGAGATTAAATCAACCGAATCGTTTATATAGTCTACATCAAGGGCATTTGAAATTCGACTGATATCTGCAAACCTCATTGTAATAAACATGGATTCGGGGGCATACGAAGGTAATTTTTTTTTCATATTTAAATTTGTCAAAATCCTGACATGTAAATTTCGCTTCTTCAAAATTGAAGCCATGATTTACGTTTTCTGGGAATGCATGGATGAGAGACGATCAACATTTTGGTGTTGGACCAAGCAATAATTTTTCGTGGTAGAAAAAAAAATGTTCTTAAATTTGTAATTTAAGAACACTAATTAAAGTACTTTCAAGAATTATACAAAATGGCATGAGCAATGCTAAAGTTCTCTTTTCCCCGCGTTTTTGTGTCACTGTGTCTTAAATATCATGTTAAGGAGGCTGGATCCTGCCATCAAAAGTAATGAGAATTGTTTATCAAGTATATTTTCAGAATTTATACACATAGCTTAATTAAAAATTAAAACAAAAAATGGGGGTCAATGTGCTTCTTTTGGTGCTACAGAGCATTTAGTTTGACCTTTTTGCACTGTAAGTACATCTTACACATCAATCAATTTTTAAAGTTTTTTCCTCCAATATTTTTTATTCAAATAAGTTATGGGTACAAACACACTCTTATTTCATCTTGAATAGACCCATTAAAATTTTTGACAACGAAAAAATTTTCATATTACTCCGCATGTTCAATTATTGGACCTTTTTGCACTCAAAAAATTTCATTTTGCTAGCATTAAAAATTTAACAAGCAAAAAACCCATTTAAAAGTAATGACATTTTACTGAATTTAAGAAGAATGGTTAAAAGTATCTTATATATTCAGAAAAGAAAATTAAAAGTGGGGGTCTGTGATGTTAATTTTTAGATATTACTAAAATAGTGCTAATTTTGAGCTCAAATTAGGGCTATTTTTTTCCTTAATTTTCACAATATATTTGCTATATTTATCAAATATGATGATAGAATTCACGACAGTGTATTTAATATATAATTTAAGACCAGTATAAAACAATTCACTGCACAAAATAACTCTGTGTGCAGACTGCATGTAAAAATAGGAATCCAAACTTAACATACTTTAAATACTTCGAAAGAGAAAAAAATGATCATTTTCTTCTAAAAAACCTTCCACCACAAAATATAGTTCCTCACATAATGCTTTTGGTATGGAATTTAATCATGGAGTTTTAACTAGAAATATAGTTTGTTTGGCATTGTAGAATCCAATTTTATTGTAAGAATTAAAACATTATGCAGAATTTTTTAAATATAGGTTAAAATAAAAATCTGCTTAAAAGCTCAGGAGCGAACCTCGTTAATATCAATTATTCGCAATAAATAAGCAAAAAGGTAACAACCTCTAAATATTATTGAATTTTACGTGCCCTTACCTCTTAATCTAACAGTACATTGAGAATTAAATATAAATGATATTTTTCAAAAACAGGTTTGATTCCATAACACCCGTATTTAACAGTGTCATTTTTTTTTATCTACTTACCCATGGGATATATTCGAACAAATTCCATCTTTTTTCCCTAAAAGTGAATTGATAGTATTAAATACCACAATCAAGATCAAATAGTATTCCATTATCGGTAGTATAAAGAAATGAACACTGAACTAATGAAAATCTATGTATTTTAACGTTTGCAATGCAAAAGAGATGTACAGAAAGTTTTGAATGATCAACTTGATGTCCAATGAAAAACTTTCTCTCTAACTTGTGAAATTCACTTTTTATAGTGAGAAAGAGAGTCAGTGAAATTAGAAAATTTCAAAACACTTTCCCTATATATTAATTGCTAGCGCTGTAATTATCACACTAAGGAAATAATAACGAATAAAAGAAATAAGGAATAATTATAAGGAAATTACTTGTTTTCGGGGAAAATGAAATAGTTGTCAATCAAGTTTGCATATTACATTTAATGAGATTGAGCTAGTTTCTCATAAACAATACATTGTATTGAATAGTATAATCTAAATAAATCAATGTTGAATTGTCATTTTCAATATTTCTACCCTAAAGTGTCCTTCATTGAAAAACAAGTACAATATATTAAATCAAAATTATGGATTAAGCTACATAAAACAGAAAGTCTTATTCAATTTTTGCATTATTAACAAGCTGTTCATGTTTTAAAAAGTTTTTTTCATTATTCAACTTACAAGGTATATGTACTAGTCATGAGTGTTCCCTTTAGCTCGGTGGAAAACACACCGTGAGAAATATGGTCTGTGTTACACCGTCTACGGTGTGTGTGTGTGAATTTGAAATATACTGGTAGGCACACCGTGTCGCACAGTCTCCAGAAAATTTTCCTCCGTGCC